ATTATACTCAGTGATATCTATGGTGAAAAAAAATTTCAGATAGTAGCTAAAAAAAGGTAATTGGGAAAAAATAGACCTGGAAAAAAAAAAGTTCATATTGTTTCTTTAAAATTATTATGAAATAAAAATAATAAAAATAATAATAATAATAATTGTATCACACCCACAATTTTCCTGAAAAATAAGCACCCCCAGAATAATCGCTCCATTTTTTGTTACAAAAAAAAATATCATCATTATTATTATTATTATTATTGTTATTATTATTACTATTATTATAATTTTTATTTTATAATAATTTTAATGAAATAGTATGAAAATTTTTCATAACTTCAAAATTATTTCAGGTCTATTTTTTCCGAGATTCCTAAAAAAATCCAGATTATACTGCGTAATATCTGGATTATATTAATTGTAATCTGGATTATACTAGCTACTATCTCAATTTTTTTTCACTCAATATAATCTGGAATTATATATTTACCCAGTATCATAGTGTTCTTTCCGTGTAGCATTAATAATTTCATTATTTATTAATAATATTTTCCGTATGAGAAAAAATAATGTAATACTATCATACAATGAACTTTACGTTAATAATAATGCTTTGCAAAAGCATTTTAATAGATAACAATATATATGATCGTATATAATAAGTCATAATAATGGACTATGTTTTTTTTTTCTAAAACACTTGTTGTTTTATATTATACCTGATTATTTGATTGTATTTAATATTTACAATAATAATAATAGTACTTTACACTACAATTACTATTACTATTTTTATTTATTATTATTATTATTATATTAATATTAATATAACTATATAGCCACATGTATGATAATATCTGACAGTTTTTTTCTCATTATTACTAAACCAGGAGTTGGATCAAACTTCGTCTTAATATTCAATGTTTATTCTCAATACTACATTACATTTACATAAAACACCATTTATTTATTTATTTATTTATTTATTTATTTATTTATTTATCTATTAATTAAATCCTAATTTTATTTTTTTGTTCTTTTATGTTTTGTCATTTTTTTTTTTCTTAGATTTTTTGTGATTCGGTAACTTTGTTTTTTTTTTTTAATTATTTTTTTTATTTTGAATCGCAAGATTAATACACAATTTTAATTCCGCATTCAAAAGTATGATTAAGTATTTTTTAAATTTTATTTTTTTAAATTCCAACCACTGTCATTATTTCCGTGAATTATTTTTTAATTATTATGATTATATTATAAACAAATATATCAATTGAGGTAAAGTATAAAAAAAATTAAAAGGCAACGTCTAATTATTTTTTTTAGATAATTATAACAGCTAATACCGACTAATTATTCTCGATTTGTTAAATATATATTTTATAATTATTTGTTGCTTTGTAATTATAAATATTTATTATTATTATTGTTATTATTAATATTTTGTATTACTATTAATATTATTCGTACCTATATTTCAATTCTTTACGCATATCAGTAACAAATATATCGTATGCGTATTTTTTTTTTTATTTTTATTATTATTTTTCTTAATCATTTATTAATCATAAGATTTATATTATACTTATTAATTATTAATTAATAATAATAATAATCATACAGTAACACCTAAAGCCAAGCTCCTTTAATATACATTAACACTTGAGGCACTTAATTGTGTGCTCAAATTTATAGTAAACCGTTTTGACATGACACTGTTTTTTTACATTAGATTACATTAATTGCCAAAGCAAAAATTACAAACGTTTTTTTTTTTTGTCTAATTCAATACATTCGCATAAATTCTTATTCTTATTATTAAGTTCAACAAATGTTCATTCAATTAATCAAATAAAAAAAAAAACTTATGCTATTTATTAAAGTGGCGCAAAAAAACTGACTATTTTTTTTTTTTCAATCCCGAGTAAAAAAATGTCAGTTTTTGATATTTTAAGAGCTCTCTCCAAAGAACAGCTTAAAAAAAATTTTTTAAGAGGTCGCTCAAAATTTTTTAAAATTTTAAAAATCGACATTTTTTTTTTTTATTTTTTTTTCTCACTACGTCATAATTTTATAGACAAAAAAAAAATTTTCGTGAAAATTTCAGTTTAAAATGTGAATTTTAAAAGGTCGCTCATAATTTTTTTTTAATTTATTAAATTAAATTAGCATTTTTTGACTCTAAAATTAAAAAAAAATTATGAGCGACCTCTTAAAATTTTTTTTTTTGAGCTGTCCTTTAAAAAGAGCTCTTAAAACATCAAAAACTGACATTTTTTCACTCGAGACTTAAAAAAAAAAAAATAGTCTGTTTTTTTGCGCCAGCCTACTATTGATGCAAATAAAAATAAGTAATAAACAGATCAAGTGACAAACAAATGTAATTTAGTGTCTCAAAAAATCAATGAAAAATATATTTGAAGCCTTTTTTTTTACTTTTTATAATTATTATTATTCTTAGAATTTAAAAAACTAATTCCGTTATTTATTATATAAGATTTGTTGTAAGATATGCAATAAAAAAAAATTATCTTATCTTATTCCCCGTTTATTAAATTATATATTCATTTTTTTTGTCACAATAGATAAATAAAAATTTTTAAATCAAAATATCATATAAATATCCATTTTAATTTCAAATAATTATTTTTTAACTATCCGACATATATAACCTTTCCTTTAAACATTATGGAAGTCATTGGTACGAATATTTATCGTATATATATCAACATTGAAAATAAAAGCAATCAAATTTTTGTGCTGATAAATTTCAATCTTTACATATAATGTATCTTAAAAAAAGGAAAAATAATAAATAAAACACCTAACCAATAGTTAAGAAAAATTCCCAATCAAATATAAATTAAAAAAAAAAAAAAAAGAATAGTTAATTATTTTTACAATCTAAAAAAAAAAAACAATCTTATAACTTATCAAATATGAGGTGTGGTATCTTTTGTTTATAATGTTATACGAGAGAAAAAAATAATAAAGTAAGATAACTTACGCTTAACTAAGTTTTAAATAACATTATTGTTATTAATGTGATAAAACTATTGTTATTGTTATTGTTATTTAAATAATATTTCGTTTAAAATTATTCCTTTTTTTTTTCTACCACTCTCGTTGTCGCTTCTCAATTTTTAAAAATGACTATTTTATAAACACATTCGTTGCTTAAGATATACACTGTGTCCTGATGATTTTGGATTTTGGCACAAAACTATCTATTATTGTTTTTATTATTATTATTATTATTATTTTTTATTTCTTATTTTATTAAAAACCAAATATGAAAACAAAAATATCAAGTAATAAATCATATTTAATTTATTAATTTTCGAGTGATTCGTTAAATAAATTAACAAATATGTACTCTTAAAATTACTGAAATTTATTTTTCAGTTTTGAATTAATGTATTATTTTGTAAGCATTTATAAGCGTTTTTTTTTCTTAATTTGCAAAAAAATTCTTCATTTTTTAATCTTATTTTTCAGTATCATTTTTTAATCTATTAATTAATATTAATAATAATAATAATAATAATAATATAGGCAAAATCACTGTACAATGTAAAAAGTTATTATGCTTTTCGTAACCACTTGTACAACCTGAATAAAAATCACTGTTGACAATACAAGCAGCAGCAATCGAGTGTTTTCTTTTTTCATTTAACGTTCGTTTATTCCTTTTTTATTTAGTTAAAAAAAGAAAAGAAACAAACTAATGATGACGGCAGAATATTTAGTTTTCTTTTTCATCAATTGCAGAAACGCCTGAAAAAAATATATTAACTAAATAATTCTTTATTATTTTAATTTTGAATTTTTTTTGAATTAATAAATAAATAAATAATAAATAATAATAATTAAAAAAAGTTTTTCTTTTTTAATGTGGGTAAAAAAGTGATTAAGTAATTTTTATTTTGTATTTTAAGCACTATAAAAAATAAATGATGTGATAAATAAATAAAACGTAAGTTAATACGCTTATATTTTTTACTCGCTTTATGAGCGTGGCTCCGCCCTGACACTACTCAACTTAGGGCGTTTACTTAAGCTCGATATAATATGATAGCCCGTAAGAGTTAAAACAATCGATTTAAAAAAAATGTTAATATATTGAAATATTGAAAATTAGTTAAACTTACATAGTGGGTTATTCATTCGTATCTTTTTCATCTATTTTGTGTTTGGTACAAGGTTGTTCACGACAATGTTGAGCTACTTGGGCATAGCTTGGCCTATTGAGGTCCTAAGGATTGAATATTAATTAATTATTTAATTATAATTAGAAAAGCTGGTTACTGATTTTTATTAAAAAAAAGAACTTACTAAAGGATAGGCAGAGGCCACTCCTGTTTGTAATTGAGGAGGATTCTGTGGGACAGTAGGGATGTTGTCACAATTGCACCTCATTACTGGCTCAGACTTTTCAGCAGCATGGGTTTTTGTACTTATGGCCTCGTCCACACCGTTCACCATCAAGTTTGTGTCATCAGTCTTAATAGATCTGTTAAAAATAAATAAATTTATTTTTTATTCAATTTTATTTATTTTATTGACTTTTATTTTTTATTAAATTATTTTCAGTAAAAAAAAATTTTTATTAATTATAATCAATATTATAATTAATAATGTAATAATAATAATAATAATAATAATAATTATTATTATTAAAAAAATTTTTATTAATTATTGTTAAAAAAAAAAAATAATTTTTTCGTCTTTTTTTTTCAAATTCAATTCAAGCCATAATTTAAACGACTGCTTCTAATCAATCACCACTAGTCTCTTGAAAAGTGCAATTTTTATTTCGTCTTGTAATAATTAATCAGAGATATTTTTTTATACTTCTAAAAATTTGAACTTATAAAGTAAATGAAATTGATTTAATTTAAATTTAATTCCAATGAAAATATTAATGCTTTTTTTATTTTTATTTTCTTTTTTCACCTAAAACTAAATTTACTTTAAATAAACCTAATGTATAAATAATACTAAAGTTAGCCGACTGTTAATTTTTTAAGTTTTTCTTCAATTATTAAATTAGAATTAAATAATATTTTTAAAAAATTGCACTCATAGTTTTTAAAGTTTTTTAAAAATGAATTTTTTTTTTAATAAAAAAAAATTCTAAAAATTTTTAGATGTCAGCTAACTTAATTTTCATAATGTATAAAGCCAATTCGCGTTTGGATAAATAAATAATTCAATTAATTAATTAACTGAAGCAATATTAAAAATTATTAATTTTTTTTTTAAATTCAACTTGTACAATATCCATCAACATAAATAAAAATAAATTTCTACTGACATTACAATTAAATTTGAATAAAAAATAAAAAAAAAAAAATACTCACTTATTGGGAGATGACGGGGGAGTAAGAGTGACAGTGCCGTAAATGTTGTCACTAATAACATTGCCAGCCCCGGAACCAACTGTAGCAGCTAAAACAGATCCACCGGAAGCGATAACAATATTAGGATCATCAATCGGTAGCCCCAGTACCCCAGCGACAGTAACAGGAACACCAGTAGCCGTACCAGCAGGACTAATAACTGATCCTGGACTAGTAGATCTGCTATTAAGCTGAACACCAACCGTCGTCGGTACAAATGACATCGAAGAAGACGAAAAAGATATCTGGCCCTCCTTGGACATAGTCAATGTCATATCTTTTGTGCTTTTTATTTTGGCCGTGCCCTTAACAACATCTGCCAGCCTATTCTGTGATTGTAACGCGGTAACAGCAACACCACTAGTACAACCAGCACCACTTACAGTAACATTACTACTAGAACTATTACTATTACTGTTACTACCACTACCACCACCACCACCACCACCACCACCACCACCACCACCACCACTACTACCACCACCACCTCCACCACTATTACTACTACTACTATACTCAATCACCGTGCTCGATTCGCTGGCAGTCCCGTGTGATTTTATTAAATCAGGATCTAGACCAGGTAAAGGTGGAAATGCCGCAGCTTCCAAATCAAATTGTACAACACTACGATTGCTGTACGACGATAAATTCGAGGCTGTGTTAGTGTTGCTACTAACATCTTTGTTATTGACACCACTACTGTTGTTGTAATTATAATTATTATTACTGTTGCTACCACTGTTGCTGCTGCCACTGTTGCTGCTGCCACTGTTGCTATTATGGAAATTATTGGCATTATTGTGATGATAATTGTGTGGATGATGATGGTGCTGGTTTTGATGTTGATGATGTTGATGATGGTGCTGATGATGACTGTTGGTAGAATTACCACCAGCAGTACTTCTATCGTGTCTATCACGATCGCTCCTATCAACACCAGATCTATCAACACCAGCAGCAGAAGAATGATTGCCCTCACGAATTGACGGCAATGTGCTGTTGCTTTTAGACATAGCGTTGTCTTGATCTTTGGTCCTGCGGTGAATACGATAACGGTATTGCAAGCTGCCTCCACTTCTTTCTCTGTCTCCTCGCTCACTATTATATCCTCTTTCGCGTTCACCCTTATTATCACGATCACGATCACGATCACGATCTCTGTCACCATCTCGGTCAGTATTAGCAGCAGTAGAATGGTAGTTATGATGATAAGGCTCATTATCATGGACATTTGCTTTGGAAATATTACCGCCTGAGTAGTGGGTGTCGCCAGCCACGCTTGAAGACAGAGTGTGAGGCGATGACGAAGACGAGGAGGATGAAGATGATGATGAGGATGACGATGAAGATGACAGCGTGGATAACGATGACAATGCTGAGGATGTATGGAATTTTGTGCCGCTTATTTGATGATGTTGATGATGTTGTTGTTGGTGGTGGTGGTGTTTCTGTTGATGGTGTTGGTGTTGGTTATGGTGGTGGTTATGATGGTGGTGATAAGACGTTGATTTTGGTGACGCTGAATAGTTGGACGATAAAACTGGTAATGTTGTGGTGGCTGTTGTTATTATTGTCGTTGTTAACATTGAATTATTTCCGGAATTTCCATTACTGTTGTTGTTATGGTTGTTTGTAGTGGTAATAGCTGTTGTTGGAGTATTGTTGTTATTATTGTTGTTGGTATTGGTGTTGTTGTTGTTGTTATTGCTGGTATGCATGTTGGAATTTAATTTTGGTGGATGATTCATACGACTCATGTGTGACATACCACTGTCTATTGGACCACCTCTGTCTGATCCATTTCTGTGTTTGTTTCTAAAAAAATTTTGGTATTCTATAGAACTGTTCTGTGGGGTATTTAATGGTTATTAGAGAAAAATTTACGGTTATTGTTTACAAATGGGGTCCATTTTTTTTTTTTTAATAATATCTAGGGGGAAAATTAATATTAAAATTTTTTTTATTATTTGTTTTTATGGCGCATTTATGATAAAAAAAAAAAAATAAGATTTCAATATTTTTGCCTTCAAAAGTTGGAAAAAATTAGAGTAAGATTAATGTTTATTTTAATAGGTTAATTTTAGGAGTAAAAATTATTGTTGGAATATTTTTAGAACAATTTCGTAGTTTTTTTCTTATAATTAATCGAAAATAAAATAATTTAAAGAGAAAAAAAAAAAAATAAAGACGTCAATATTTTTGCATTCAAAAGTTGGAAAAAATTTTGGCTCTCATATTTTAGGATAAAATTTCTATTTTATCTTTTTTTGATTTATTTTTTTTAAGTACATAAAGCGAAAAATTAAAAAAAATTGAATATCACAATTTTCAAAAAAAATTTATAAATTTTTTTTTTCAAATTTGTTAAAATTGTGATAGTTAATTTTTTCCTTTAAATTGTTAATTTTTTTATGAATTTTTCAAAAAAAAAATATATCAATAAAATCAAATAAAAATTTCGTTGAAAAAAATTATTATTAAAATGATGGACCCTATTTGTAAATACAGTGGACTCTCAATAACTCGAACTTCAAGGGAAGTATAATAAAAACTTTGAGTTAAAGAGTTTTCAACTTAACAAGATGTTAAAAATTTGCAAGTAGACCAAAAAAATTAAGAAAACAACTTGGAGAGAAAATATACATTACAAACAAGAATATAAAAAGCATTGAAAATTCTTATAGGAATTTAGATTTGATTGCTATAACGAGTTTTTTAATGCAACCACGTATCTCAGTTTTTGAAGATGAAATGGTTCAGCTAAAAAATTAATAATTAATTCTAAAATTCATCTAAAAAATAATAATTATAAATGCGTTACTGATAAAGAAATATAAACCAGATTAAACAATAAATCCGATAGTATTTTTAGAAAATACAATTGAAAAATATTGTTTTTAGATAAATATTAATTTTTTATAAGCTATTTTTTTTTTATCTCATTTTTAAAATTGTCATTTTTGAGATACGAGGTTGCGTTAGAAAAGCTTGGACAGTTCGGAGAAAAACTTCTCTATATTTTACTAACTTCGACTTATAGATTGTCACTTTTAAAATTCGAGTTATAGAGTATAAATTTTTTTGAAAAAAAAAAAAAAAAAAAAAAAAAAAAATGATAATTAAAATGGTGGACCCCACTTGTAAATAATTACAAAAATTTACCTATTTCGTGGATTAAACCTTGTGTGTGGTTTGAATGAATTGTGCGGTGTCATTCCATTCATTGTGAATACACTGGTCATGTCGAAATAAGCCGGACTTGCTGGACCCCAGTGCATCATCGATGGAGTGTAAAATGGCTGGTGCTAATTTTTTTAATAAATAAATTAAGTACAGGTTTGAAAAAAAAAAAATTAAATATGGTTTTTTTTATAAAGATTGATTGAGTACTTACGTAGACCTGTATCTGGTTGGGGTATGGCGGTATTGTGGTTTGGGGCATGGTAGTACCATTGGTGTATAGGAAGCGTTGTTGACCAGGTGGATAACTACTTGGATCAAAAACTGGCGGTGGTGGAGGAGTTCGAAAGCCGTTTTTTATGCTACTAACTCCAGCCACCGTAGGAATTGGTAGCCTGTTCATTGGTTTAGCTTTTATGCGAGCCATTATAGGCTTTCCCTGTTAATTGAAATATTAAAAAATAAATATATGTATATATGAATATTTAATACAGAATTAATTAAAGATATTTTTACAGTAATTTTTCAGTCACGTCACCAAAATTTTTATTTGTCATTTAATTGCGTATTTATTTGATAAATCTTTTATCAGCTCAAACTCATGAGTTTAAAGGCCATGTTGTCTATATTTCTATCTTTTCATGAGTTCAAGTAGTGTTTATGTGTAGTTTCATTTATTTGAAAAATACTTTATGAATAATCATAAATAAAATAGTGATAAAATAATATATTGATAAAATTGAACGTTTTATCACTAATGAATGAATAATATTGACACGAGTATCATGATAATTAGAAGGTGGATGTTTAAATATTTCTCTGGAGGTTTTTTTTTATGTTTTTTACAAGCAAATAACTCACCTGAAATTCTTTAACTTCTTCGCGTAAAAACCTGTAGGCCTTCTGGGCATCTTCGTCTGATTCAAAAGTAACATACCATGAGCTATTGTGGGCAAACTCGCATGATATTACTTTTGGACACCCTTCTCCCGAGAACAAATTCTAATAAAAAGAAAAAAAATTAAATGTAATTAATTAGTTTAATAAATTATTATAATTATTATTATTATTACTAGCAATTTTGCTTCAATCAATAATGACTTTTGTTAAATTGTACTTTTTCAACTATTGACCTTTTTAAAGATATAATCTCATCCCGATGTTACACTCATCAAGAGCTTTCATTTGAGTACCCACATGCATTTTCATATATTTTTCATATATACATATATAAATATATATGAATATATGAAAAATTGATGTGGGTACTCATTCGAAAGGTCTTGATGAGTCTAATGTCAGGGTGAGCTTATATCTTAAAAAATGTCAACCGTGCACGAGATACAAGGTCATTTCTTAATTATTGATATTTTTAAAGATATAAGCTCATCCCGATGTTACACTCATCAAGAGCTTTCATTTGAGTACCCACATGCATTTTCATATATTTTTCATATATACATATATATAATATTTATAAATATATGAAAAATTGATGTGGGTACTCAAATGAAAGGTCTCGATGAGTGTAATGTCGGGATGAGCTTATATCTTTAAAAATATCAATAGTTCACAAGCTATAAGGTCATTTCTTAGTTATGTGTCTAGAGATAGAGAATTTTCGAATGCAGCCTAAATACTATCATAATAATTAGACTATCGGTGAGAATGATATGAAACCTTGAAAAGGCACACATTCAAGTCAAGATCTTTGCAATGACACTAAATTTCTCTAAAAAACCTATTTTATCATATAGCTATTCTTTAATATAGATTATTATTATTACTAATATTATTGTTGATCAAAAATTAGAACAATAATCAATAATTTTTTGAACAAATTTTTGTTTAATAATAATAAAGAAATAAAAAAAATTATTATTATTAATAATATATGTAATTATTATTAAAGACAAACCTTGACTTCTTCCAATGGTGTGTTGTCTGGAATTTCCCGTAAAATAACTATACATCGTTTATGATTAGGTCTAACTTTTTGTCCCTCTTCATCAACTTGTACATTTGGCGATTCACGTAACACTTGAGTAATCAATTTAATATCTTTAGTTAATTTTTTAACTTGATTGAAGTTTGCGACGGTCCATATGGGCACATATTGATCATTATCCATTTGTGATAATAAGTATGTATCATTTGCTAAATTCTCTCTGTAATACACAAAATAAACCATCATTAAGACCGATGTCCCCAAGTACTTATTTAAAAAAAAAAATAAAAATAGCGTACCTAGAGAAATAATATTCGAGCTGTGAAGAGAGCATTTGTTTAAGTTGATCTAATGGAATGCCAGATGTCGGTAAATCAGTCATTAAAGCTGGTGACATTTGAACATCCAAGGGATTAATTTCAACAGGAACATAACCAAGGTTAACTCCAACTCTCAGAGCACCGGCAACATCTGGAGGAGCAGCACCGGCAATTGAAGGAGGATTACCACCAACTCCACCATCACTGGTACCACCAGCAATGTCAGGAGAGCCAGCCAAACCACCAACAGTACCACTTAATCTTATGGAGTGTTGAGGCGAAGGCTCAATACCACCCATGGTAGTTGGGTCGAGCATTAGTTCGCCTGGTACAGATCCTCCGTTCATGACACTGTAATCTAAGCTGGTGTTTGCAATAACTGTACCCCCGACAGAACCCAAGGGTTCAGGGGTGGCTGGGTAAACCGCCCCTGGTGGGAGCTTCCCGATGTCCCCATTCATGTACACGTAACCTTAAAAACAAACAAAATATTTATAAGTATCATTGGAATTATTAATGCAATTTTAATTATCATAATTTACACAAAAAGGACAAGATGATACTGGATATCATCCCAGATTATAGTGAGTGAAAAAAAATTCAGATAGTAGCTAGTATAATCCAGAATACCAGTACTATCTGAAATTATTTTTTTCACCACAGATATCACTGAGTATAATTTAGAATGATATCCAATGTCATCTTGTTCTTTCCGTGTGTATATATTCCTAGTTAATTTCTTTACGATTCACTATTTTTTTTTTTTTTTTTTATTAATAATAATACTGAAGTTGTCAATTTTAAAAAAATTTTTTACAAATCAATCAAGTACAATAAAAATATCCTAAAAATTTTCATTAATTTTTATGAAAATAAATTTAGCAGGTATTTAATAATTATTTTTAAATGAATTATGGCAAAAAAATTAGAATAAAAAAATTTACATGTAGAAATTTAAAAAAATAAAAAATGCAATTTTTTAAAAGTAATTTTTTTGAACAAATTTGTTTGTTAAAAAAAAATCTTAAAATTCTCTAGTGACTGCTAACTTTAATGTCATTTAATTTTTATTTGTTTGTTAAAAAAAAATCTTAAAATTCTCTAGTGACTGCTAACTTTAATGTCATTTAATTTTTACATGTGGAAACTTTTTAATTAAATTTTTTTTATAACAATTCAATTGCTATAAAATTTCTAAAAAAATTTTTAATCTGTCAACGTCAGTGTCATTATTAATATACACATTAGGAAGTTACCTAAAGTTAGATAAAATACCTGGTTAATAAAAATCCAATAAAAATTTAATTAACTATAATAATTTATTAACTTTAATATGTAATAATTAATAATGAACCGATTATTTCTAGAAATACTAAAATAAGTACTTTGTCATACTGATTCATACGTGATAACAATTTTTTTTTTATAGTGTTATTATTATTTTTGTCTACATGTATTTATTTACGTTCTCTGAATTATATAATTATTACTTTTTTAATCACCAGTTTGTTGATAGTCCAATTCGACGAAAATATTTAGATAAAATAAACCAAACTTATGTTTTTTACCATCATTAAAATAATTCAAAATAACAATAATATTTATGAAAATTAAATTAGCCTTTTAAATTTTTATAATTTATTTTATTGAAAAATATATAAGTGCAATTTTTTTAAGAATATTTTTTTAATTAATAAAAAAAAATCATCGGCTAATTTTAGTATCATTAATATTTTAGTAAATAAAGAAGCTAACACTAATTAAAAAAAATAAATTAATCACATATGTATTTTTTGATGAAAAAAAAAATAATAGCTGTTTTCAAAATGGAAGAACAATAATAGTTATTATAATAACGATGAATCATACGTTAATGATAGTAATAATTTTTTGAAAATTATTCTGAAACTAATAATTAATCAACGTAATAATTACATCAGAATAATGAATAAAAAAAATAAATAAGAGTGATATTAAATGAATATCAATGTCGATAAATAAAAATATTGATAGAAAATTAAAATTAAATAAGTAATAGTAATGGCAACAGTATTATAAGTAGTAATGATGATGATGATGATGATGATGATGATGATAATGAAAAATTACGTTAACATAAAATATGTTTATAAAAGACAGTATAATAACGTTAAGTACCGTCGTTGTAGACTAAACGCATCGACGACAATGTGATAAATTGGTAATATGTATGGACAAGATATGCAATATGTTGGATATCAGCACTGGCCAAATATAGAGTGAGACGTTTGGCCGGGCTCTCTTTTAATGTGTAATGATCACCGCACGCAATCAGTGTTGTAAAAAGGTGACAACCACTACGGAAGTACAACACTTAATACGTATGGTATATAACAATATATATCACCATTCATTTTTACAATAAACCACGTAAAATCAACCTGATTGTATAATATATAATATATATAGATATATATATGTATACATATACATTAACTCGTCTATATATATCTACACATATACATTAAATGTAATTTCACACAAGCTCAGTATACATGTATACATATATATATACATTACTACGACATGGACAAAACGTATGGATTCATTTTACAAAAAATTAATAATTATAAATAATTACACACCCATTATTATACATACGCACAATTAACACACAAAATTATAAAATAGTTAAATTAGATATTAAGATAATAAAAAAAAAAAAAGTACTAACTTTACTACAGACTTTAAAGTCGTTCGTAATTTCGCAGTCTTTAGGATGTTAATCGTAGCTGTCGATAACACATTTAAATACACCGTATTAAATGTTATTATTATTATTAAATATTGTTTTTATTTTTTCATTACTTATTTTTATTATTTTACTTGCTGATTATTTATTATATATTATTTATTGTTATGCGTTACACATTAAATGATACATCACGACAATGTGTAATCTGTCTTTAAATTATTATTTAATAATAATAATTGTATTATTATTTTTTTAACTAAATAATAATCAGTTTTAATAACGTTAATACGTTTGTTATAAATTTTTTTTTCTTACCGAGAAGAAGGAATCAACTCAACACACCAATTTCTCAAGGAAACTACAAAATGGCCGACGCTCTGAAAGGCACATGCCGTCAGTGAAATGCATTGTGGGTTAATGGATTATACATATACATACTTGTACATGCTCTGTACACTTACTTGGTTGGTAGTGTGTTTGTTAGCGTGTTTGTTATACCTATACATACCATTAATATGTAGAATGTGTAATTCGAGTACTGCGACATCTTACAACACTCAATTATTAAAGTAGCAAAATATACTCCCGCTATTTTTTTTAAAAACCGGATATCAGGGAAGTTTTTTATTTATTTATTATTTTTGTTATTTCTTCTTTAATGTGTTTTTTTTTTTTTTTATTATTTTAGTCATTTTTTATATTATAATTTTTAAATTTTGAATTTTAAGAAATTACGCGGGAAAATTTTGAATATAAATTTTGCACTTTTTATTTTAAATAAAATTTTGAAGATATTCTTTTTTAAAATTATTTTTTTAATTTTTTATTTAAAGAAATTCTATTTCAGCTACTTTCACGTTCATGGAAAATTTTAGAGATTAATTAATAAAAAATGGAAATTTAATTTTTAAACTTGCAAATTTATATTGAATTTTTTTTTTTTTTTATTTCAAGAATTTTCATAATTGTTTTTCCTGTTATTACATATTATCAGTAACTTAAAGATTTTTTTTCATGATAATTTGATAATGTAAATGGCGATTGAACTTTGCTTAATAGGCGTTACGGAATGTTACAATCTATTTTTTACTCTATATATAATAAAATGCTCATTATATTTAATACAGAAAGTTTCATAAACCTGCCAACTTTTACAATGTAAAAAAAAATTATTTCTTCTTCACATTAAAATTAATTTGATAATTTTTTTAATAAATTCTTTTTTAAAAAAAATAATAAATTTTTCTCATAATTAATTAAAATTTTTTTTTCTTTACATAAAAATTAATTTGATAATTTTTTAAATGTTTTTAATAAATAAATTATGTCGAAAAAATTGTAATAAAAAAATTTTTAATTTAGAAATTTTAAAAAAATAAAAAATGCAATTTTTTAAAAAAAATTAATTCTTCACACAATTAAATTAATTAAAATTTTTTTTACAAACTAAAAAATAGTCTTCTTAAAAAATAACATTTATGAATCATATAACTAAATTAAAAGTGAAGAAATGAAGATGGTAGTGAATCATCGTGAATATATGACAGATTTATAACACCAGCATAAATATGACAACAAAATTATTAATTTTAGCTTAAATCGAAATTATCAGAATTATCATTATCTACTTGAGTCTATTTGTCTGTTGTCATAGTATGAGGTCTTGCATAATAATGATACATACATATACATAAATAAAATAAATATACAACATATATAAGAGTAGGGCCTATTAGAGCTTTTAACTCTGATACTTTTGCTACTTATACTGTACACTTCAATACTCTTACTTACACTCGACTCTTGACTGCTGTTTTTACTTTATCATTATATGTAAATGCGTGGAATGCTGTAGGACGCTAGATATTATTATTATTACTATTATACTTACGTTTGCACATTTAACTGTACTTCAAATTTATTAAATGAAATCATTTAATTAAAAAAAAAGTATTTTTTTTCTATCAAAAAATAATGTAAAACAAAATAATTAATGAATATTTTATAACTGATAAAACAATAATATTTAACGTTGAATATTTAATTGGCCTATTACGTAATCATTGATATTTTTAAGATAAAATAAATATATATATATACATATCACGACAACTGTCGTTATTTCTATTTGTATGACGTCATCGGGTCATCATTGAAACTTTACCTGTAAATATAATTATGTAGTTTTATTTAAAAAAAAATTTTTTTTTTTTTAATAATTAAAAATATTTTATATATTAATCAGGAATATTAATAAATAAATAATCATTAATTGAGGAAAATGAATTCAAATTTATTTATCTAAGAACATTTAGTTACGTATTTCATCTCAGTTAAAACAAAAAAATATAAAACAAACAAAATATAAAAGAAGAAAAGTGACGGCGACTATCACTGGCTTAAAGCAGAGTTAAAAAAAAAATTTTTAATTTTTTGTTTATAAGATTGGAAAAATTAGACTCAAATATTGATTATTATTATAGAAAAAATTCGAGTTAATATTTTATTTATAAATAAATTCATTTCTTCTCGGCAATTTATTTAAAAATAAAAATAGTGAGTGAGTTGATAATAAATCTAAAAAAAAAATCAATAAAAAATTTTTTAAAAAGATGAAAGCCAGTTAAAGCTTAAAGTTTTCCTTTCATTTTTTAAATAATTTTGTTTAAAGATGAAAATATCTTCTCTGAAGACGTCAATAGCGCCGAGATACATATTAACTATCATCAAAAATTAAAAGCATCCGTAGCTACCTGTATCTACCGCTTGTACAATAATCTCAAAAATTCATCTAATTACAGCTAATTATTTTAAATATGTTTTTGTTAAATATTTTAATTGAAAATAGCGACAATTCAAGTGTTACTCGGATTATCTAGCATAAGGCTGTTAAAAGTATTGCTTCCTATAATGTCTTACAAAAAGTGTTCGGATTACATAAATTACCGCTGTCTATACTGATATCCGTTATTTTATTTTATTTTATTTTATTTATTTAGTTTAATTATTTATTTATTATTTTTTTTTAACGTTTTTTTTTTCATTTATTGAAATATATTTAAATATATATTTGTCGTATGCGTATAGTTGATCATAACAGACCAGCAAATATCAACAAGTAATAGAATCAAATGATACAGATAATTTAAGATGATTATTAGGTGGTAATGACATTGAATATTTTTAAACGTGGTGACATGGAATTGGCCTGCTTGCTGCTGCTCCTCTTGTAGCTTGATGACGATGTTGGTGTTGTTGTTTTTAAAATTTTTTTAAAAACCGTGAACTTTAAGCTGGTCAGGCTTTGCCAAACCTGCTTTGGTTAACCACTGGCATATATTTTCACGTTGATCACCCTGCAATTGGAGCACCTCCCCGTACTCTGGGTGATCTACTACAGTCCCATTGCACGCAAACTCCTTTAATTAAAAAAATTATTTATTGATTAATAATTAAATTATTGGAGTTTAAATTTATTGTAAGAAAAAAAAATTAATTAAATATATGACATTAAAGTTAAATGAAAATTAAAAAAATTTTTTTTTATTGAAAAAATTATTACAAAAAAATAAAAAAAAAAATTCATTTTTAAAAAACTTTAAAAACTATAAGTGCAATTTTTAAAAAATATTATTTAGTTCTAATTTAATATTAAAAACAAAAAATTAACAATGTTGGCTAACTTTAATATTATAAAGTTAAACGTCACTTGACAATTAATTTTATTTAACAAAAAAATTTGTTCTGAAAATTTATTTTTAAAAAAATTGCATTTTTTTTTTTTAATTTTTACATGTCAATTTTTTAAATAATCAAATATCTGTTAAATTAATTTATGAAAATTAATAATTTTTCTAATAAATAAATTGCTGCATAAAAAAAATGAAAAAAAAAATGGACATTTAGAAATTTTAATAAATTAAAAATATAATTTTTTAAAAATAATTTTTCGGAACAAATTTTTTTGTTAAATAAAATAAAAAATGATCAAGTGATAGCCAATTTTAATATCATAATTAATTTTCATATAAAGTACACGGAAACAACGAGATAACACTGGATATCATCCCAGATTATATATAGTGAAAAAAAATTTTAGATAGTAGCTAATATAATTCAAATTACAATGAGTATGAAATTTTTTTTCACTACAGATATTACTGAGTATAACCTGAGATGATATCCAGTGTTATCTTTTTTTTTTTTGTCCATGTCTATAGACATTAAAAAAAATTTGATTGGTAATTAAGATGACAAAGATCTATTTTAGTGATACACAATAGATTCGTTTATCGTGATAGAGTAGACCAAAGATCAAATGTAGGACAAGGCCACATCTAAGTATAGTAATTCTTAACTGTATTGCTTTATATTAAGACCATTGCATTAATAATAAATATAAACAAATAAAAAATTTATTATGTTTGATTTTAAGCTTAGAAAAAATAATTACATTTAAGTTAGCAGTCACTTTATGATTATTTTATTTTTATTTAACAAAAAAATTTCTTCCAAAAAATGATTTTTAAAAAATTGAATTTTTAATAATTTTTTTAAGAAATAAATTAGTGCAAAAAAATTGACATGTAAAAATTATAAAAAATTGCATGTCAATTTTTTTTTGCACCAATTTATTTCTTAAAAAAAAAATCTAAAAATTATCAAATATCTACTACTCAAATTTTCATAAAAAAATAAAATAATTTACCTTTTTACATGCTCGAACTATTTTTTTCAAGTCATATTCCGACGATAGTCCTTGTACAGTTGTTAAGGTCTTACGACCATTTCGTTGTTGGATTCTTATATGCACGAGACCGTCTTGGACATCATCATCAGTACCCTTGTTTGCATCTGCAAAGGGGTCTGCACAAAAAAAATTCAATTATTCATCAATCAGTTTCAATTCATAGATTTTTAATCTAAACTCTACAAAACAAGAAAAAAAATTTTCTTGGGAATTTTTTTTCACTCTAAGTAACCTTTGATATAATTTACAGAAATGAGTAATAGAAAAATTACGTGGTATGGTGCAAAGACGCTACGTGTCGGCCATTTTGACAAAAAAAAAAAATTTATTCTACTGGAATTATTGAGTAAAATTTTTTTAGGAGTTCACAGGAATTTTTTGGAGTACATATTTCTATGCTAGATAATGGCTGCTATAGACTATTGATAGCTATCTAGTAGACAAATAAAGTAGAGGAGGTAAAAATAAAGGATAAAATATAAAACATTAAAACTCACCGAATGTGTTAAGATTCTGGATGGACATACGACAAACAAAATAGATCCCTCGTAGTTATACGACTGCAAATTGCAATTATAAATAGTTTTTTTTATTTGACAAAGATACTAGTTTGTATTATTGAAAAAAACAATATTAATGTGCCGTAGAACAGAGCTTTTAAATTTTTTTTAATTAACTATAAATGATGACGATGGCGACTAGCACGACGACAACGACACAACGATCAACGACGGTAAATCCAAACGATAATGAGGATGATGGTATGATTTTGATGGTGTGTAGTGCTACCACAACTACAACTACAGACAGGTTATTGGTTGTAAAACATTAAAAATGTATCTGTGAGTAGGATGTACTAAAGTCCACTTTTATACTCTTTCTCACTCTTACTCTTGCTCTTTTACTCTTTTAAGTCTCTGAACTTAGTCGAAAATTAAAGTTGCATTTGTCATCACGGTCATTTCTCACACACTAATATATATTTACGCATCATCAGTATCTGTGTGCTGGGTGGAGTTCATGTGTACCAATATTACAAAAATAAATACAATAAATATATTCCAAACAATCACTTTTTTTTTTTACTTAATAATTTTTTTTTTTAAATTTTAATATTTGTAATTTTATTATTATTTAATTTTGTTTTATGATAAATGATAAATTTTTTAGCTTTTTATTTTTGATAAAATTGAAGTTAGCGGAAGTTCAAAAATTTTTATGAGCAGCGTGAATGTTGCAGTTTATTTTTAAACTGTACTGAAATTAGCTGACAGCTGTCAATTTTTTAAATTTTTATAACAAATCAATTAATGAAAAAAATTTCAACTTAATTTTTTTTAATTTTCACACGTGGAATTTTTTTATTAAACTTTTTTCATAATAATTTAATTATTAATTAAAGTTAAAAGTAACTTGATTATTTTTTAATTTTTTTAATAAATAAATTTGCTCCAAAAAATTATTTAAAAAAAATTTAATTTTTTAATTTTATAAATGTCAATTTTTTTTCTTATTTTCTTTGACTAAATTTATTTGTTAAAAAAATTGTAAAATATCTGCTAAATTAATTTTCATCACTAAAATTAAAAGTCACTTTATTTTTTAGTTTTTTTTTTTTTAACAAATAAATTAGTTCCGAAAAGTTATTTTTAAAAAATTATATTTTTAATTTTTTTAAATTTCTATATACATATATACATAATAATTCTTAATAATTATTTATATTTATAAAACCATCAACATTATTTATAATATAATTTTTGAGCACTATTTTAAATACATTTAATCGCTCTTCGTTTATTATTTCACATGGTAATTTGTTATACCAATGTAGTAGACCTCTAGAGTAGTAGTATATAGTTTATTTTCATATAATGTATGACCTGCATGGCCTTTTACATCCCTTTCAACTTAAAATTATTAATTTTGGTAATGAAATAAAATAATATCGTTATAATTATTATATTTATTTGTAGTTGCTGAGGTAGTCCTAATAAAAGGACAAAACGTTCAACTAGAATCAATACATTAGTTTGAAATTATTGTGCGAAAAGTTTTTTATAATTATTACGAATAAGTTCATAGTCCTTGACTTTCGTATAAATCCCATAGTTCATATCCTCGTTCTTTTACTCTAAAAAAAAAAAGAATATAAATATTAAAATATAATAAAAAATGATTAGAGTACATAGATAAAAGATGTTAACTTACTCCTCCTCCAGATAGTGAATATTCCACCCCAAACTTCTTAATGAGTCCCATCTCATTATTTCTTCGTTAGATATCATATTTTCCTTCGGGAATCGAAATTTATGAATTAAAGTAGATACGTGTAAATTCCAAAGGTACTCATTAAGAGGTTGACATTTGCAGCGAATCGCTAAAATTTTAGCATCAATTACATTATCTTTTACGATGTAATACTCAGCTAAAGGTCTCATGCAGATATTTTGCAGAGATTCTAATTAAAATCGGTGGCCAGCTTCTAATAACCACTCAGCATTGTCAACAAGTCGATCATTAGTATTAAGGACGTATCCTGTATAGAGATATTCTACTACCATCTCAAATACTTGAGGTTTGATATCCTCAAGAGCTAATAAATTACTATCACCGATCAATTCATTTAATGCAGGACATCGAGTCTTCAATACATTTTTATGAATTTTAAATTCATTATTCTGAACTTTTATAGTGACATCACCATCATCATTCCTGATTTGGTATAGTTCTAAGAGTGAGTCAGGTACGTAACTGTCTATTTCAGGTACTTCGTGAGGATGAAGAGGAAAGAATGGATCTTTATCCCGGTAGGTGGTGAGTTCTATCTCCAGCGTCAGCGTATACCATTCGGAATATAATAACTTCTAAATGAAGGTGACTGTTCGATAGGAAGTTGAAATTTACACGTATTCTGCCTGTCCAAATAATCCTTACTGCCAGGATTTGCATCTGATCGCCTAATTTTCGATAAAACCTCAAAACGACTATTATATGGGCCAATAGCTAACACTGACGCATAAATGGAATGTTTTATTTCACTATGATCCACCGGATCTAACGAGAAAAAAAAAGAAACTTTGTCCTTGGGTAGGTTTTTATGGTTAAACTAATGAACCATTTATCATTATTATCAAATCCAGCTTTGAATTCATGACGCAAATCTTCAACTTTGGAATCCTCATTAAGGAAATCCTTTCGCTCCAGTTGAGTCAAAACAATTGTAGTATAGTCAATATACGATAAATTACAAAAAGAAACCCATAAAAATTCCTAAAATTAAATAATAAATAGTATATGAGGCATTAATCGTTGAAATTTTGAAAATAAAAAAAAAATAGTTAAATACAAAAATTAATTTGA